TGGATAGCAGCAGAAGACCCGGTCATGTTAGCTCTTAGTTGGGATAAGCCTTAGCCATTCAGTTTTAATTCTGTTAGAATAGATAAGTCTTCAATTATGTTCCTAGATAAGTGCATTCTGTTTCCTAGATAAGTGCATTTTGTTTTTTTGTTGATAAGCTCCTAAGATTAAGGGGCATTAGTTCCTATTTCTACTCCCAGTTTGTAGCACAATAAGGCTATAAATATAGCCTAAATGAATGGAATTGGCATTGGCTTTTCTACAAAGAAACTCTCTCCCTCTCTTCTCCTTATTCTAGATCCTCCTCCCTCTTGTTAGATAACTTGAGCGTATCATATTACCCTTAAATTTGGGTTCTAATATTTGATATAAATTGATTGATGCAAGAGTTCTAAATATGTTAATGGAATCACTGACAATGTGAGAATTCAACATTTGGACTTCATAGATCATAACTTTTTAGAGATTAATTACTAGAGCTTGATATGCTTCCTTTTTCATGAATTTATTTCCATGTAAATCCATTAAAATTTGAACTTTTGATTGAATGGATATAGGACACTTTGATGAAGATGGATATAGGAGATTTTATAACAGTTAGGTATATGTAGGGGTGTACAATCAGTCAGTTCGATTAGAACTGAGAACGTAGCTGATTATTTGGTTTGATCATATTCCCCAACAAAACCAAACCGAATTGGAGTTTCAAATTGAACTGAACCGAACCAAATTTATTTTGGTTGTCACTAGGAGCATTAAAAAATTTTGATATAATTGCTAGGGGTAATTAATTTAAGGGAATAGTTATTCCCTCCCCCTCTCTTGGGAATGAAATCCCCATTTCAACTTATTCCAATTCCTGTTTGAACCAAACAAACTATGGTAATAAATCATTCCAATTTCGATTTTGAAGGATTTTGATTCTAGTTCCAATTGTGAACCGAGCTGACCCTAAGAACATGATAATGTGGAACTTTCAAAAGTTGTTTAATTATTATATTTTGGGTGCAATTGGTTTTTTGTTAAAAACAATTAAATGGTTGATTTTTTTGTGACAGTTATATCGAGAGTTTGTTGACAATTAGTTTTTTTTTTGTAACATTTAAGTTATTATGTCATTTGAATTTGGTTTTTTGTATCATCTTAAACAGGTGTATAGATGAGTTATTGTATCCTTTGAGTTTTTTTTTTTTTGTGTCATTTTAATCAAGTGAGTTATTGTATTGGTCATTCAAAATTAATTTGATTTCTAGTAGGTGTTATCCAATTCCTTGCAAAGTCCTATGAAAAGTAAACAATAAATACATTTATTTGTATTATCAGGAAGTGATGGCATCCCTCAAGGAAGTTGACTTGGACATTATTCCTTCAACTTGACTATTGGGATATGAATCACTTACAAAAGAAGGTACCATAATTAGTTTAATGAGTATTATTCTCTAAATGATCCTACCCATTTTCCATGCAAAGGAATGATGCGAGAAATCTAAAGTGTCCATAAGGGCTATGTAGATCGTCTATATGGTCACTCCTTAGTCCAAACAACATAGCACATCTTGTATTGGAGTTTTCTCCAAGTGATTCCAATTATACGCAATTGAAATTCTTAATTTAATAAGTGCCTAGCAATATAAAGTAGGTCATCCGTTTTGTATTCAGTTGACTAATTGAATTCCCTCTCTCTCTCTCTCTCTATATATATAAGTGCGAATAAAGGGTTTTGGCTTCTGGAATTTTCATTGGACAGTTTTAAACCTATATCTTTAGGTCTTTGGAGGGCTTATATGTAACTATAATTTGATAAAATGTTGCACATTAATTGACACAATGAAAGAACACTACTAGAAAAATTACCTACAAAGCCAATAAAAAAATGTCTTTAAAGATAGAAAAAATACCTGTAGAAAAGAATTAGAGGCACTTTGGTGATTGCCTCTAAATGTTATAGAGGCACGTGTCATATAATTAGAGGCATATCTTATAAGTGCCTCTAAAGATGAGATATTGAAACACATAATCTTGCCTCTAAAGCATTGATGCTAAAAGCATTTTATATAGGCATATATTAATGCCACTAAATATACATTTTTAGGGGCATTTTAATTAAATTTGAGGCAAATCTAATTACCTCTAAAAATAATTTTAAGAATCCTTTTTAATCTTTATAGAAACACTTAAAATTGCCACTAAAGTAATTGGTTTTATTTAGAGACACTTATGGCTGCCTCTAAAGCTTATGTAAATCTATATACAAACATTTAATTTGCTATTTAAAGCAATTCATTCACATATCTATTAAAAGATGGCCATTGTTTTTTAATATTGTTTCATATTAATTGATACAAATTCAAAGAGAAAAGAGCAATCCATCTACAAAAACATATAGAATAAAAAATACAAAAAACAATTCAGTATTTCATCTCGACACCATCTTCATTCTCTTTCTCCTATAATCTGCAAGAAAAAAATAATACAACAAAAAGCAAAAAAAAAAAAACGTCAAATTAGTTACTATATTTTTCAAAAGCAAAAGATCTTTACCATCAAATTACATATATATCGAATGATTCTTACCTTAAAAACAACCTTAAATCCATAACTTAGTATATGTTTAAGTAACTTTTCATGCCTTCCTTGTAGTTAAATTAGAAGCCAAAACATATAAACTATGAATCTTGCTTAAAAAAGGGCACTTTGGGGGTTGTCTTTGGGAATAACTTCATCTTCAATTTATCAGAGTTAAATAAATAGAATACCAACCAAAAGACTCAATGTTTCAAAACATCAATTAAAATTAAAGAAATAACATTAGATTTTTTACCCCTATTCTGGAACTTCCTAGGTTGTTGAGGCTACAACCAACAAATGATTAATTAAAAATTATGTAATTGCCATGCTCAAGAAACTTAATATCTTCTTGCGTGGTTTCCTTTATCCTCTGCATTTGCATCAATTTTGTTATAATTTTGGTCACTTTCTCATTTCTTGGTTTGCCATACAAAGTTTTTCCTATTCTTGGTATTCATATAATGTATCCAAACTTCTTTCGATACTCCCTATACCATGTAACCTAGTTTAAGACTATTGGATGGTCTTACCTTATGGGGGAGAGGACAAATACTAAAACTCAACATGCTCCAAAGACACTTAACCTTAAAACATTCTCCCCCCTTTCTTGTCTACTTAGTACCTAATCATATCGACTCTAAGATTGAGTCCAACCTCTAGCATTAAGTTGTTAATTAAAATGCATTCACTTTGTGTGTGCATGTGATAGAGGTGTTATTGGTTTGTAAACACTACAACCTAAATAGACATGCCATACAAATCCAATCACTACTAGAAAAATCACCTATAGAGTCAACAAAAAATGCCTCTAAAAACAGAAAAAAAAATGCCTCTGAAAAGAATTAGAGGCACTAAGGTGATTGTCTTTAAATGTCTAGCATCTAAATGTTATAGAGGCACTAAGGCGATTACCGCTGAAAAGCATTATATAGAAGCATGTATAAATGCCACTAAATGTGCATTTTAATTAAATTTGAGGCAAATAATTTGCCTTTAAAAGTAATTTTAAGAATCATAGTTATGCTTTATAGTAGCACTTGTAAGTACCAGTAAAAGTATTGGTTACTTTTATTTAGAGGCACTTGTGTCGGCCTCTAAAGATCAATTATTTTTATTTTAAAAACTATTTATCATATGTAAAGCTTATGTAAATCTACATAAAAACATTTAATTTGATATTTACAATAATTCATTCACATATATATTGAAAGATAACCATTTTTTTGTATATTGTTTCATATTAATTAATACAAAGAAAAGAAAAGAGAAATCCATCTATAAAAATGTAGGCATTTTATATTAATTAATACAAATGCATATGAGAATTTGTTCTTTTTCTTTTCTTAGAGTAGGAAGTGAATTGTTTTCAACTTCATAGGAATGGGAGAATAATGTAATAGATGGAATGTCAAGATGAACTTTTTTTTTTCTTTTCTTAGAGTAGGAAGTGAATTGTTTTTATAGATGGATTTCTCTTTTTCTTTGAATTTGTTTCATAGGAATGCATATGAGAATTTGTATTAATTCTTATTTCAAAAGTATTGGAAACTCTTTTCTTTTCTTAGAGTAGGAAGTGAATGATTCTCATATTAATTAATACAAATCTCAATTCAGGTAATAAATGTAGGCATTTTATTTCAAATCCTTGTAAAGGTAAAAAATAATAAATGCTACTTAAATAAAAATTTGATTGTAATTTGAAAATGCCCTTGGATGTAGCAGGACATGATACAGGAGCAAAAATAACTCATAACGTATCACACTCGTGTTATGGATGTGAATTCTTGAATTGAGAGAATGGATAGACATGAGACATAGAAATCACACAAAACAACAAGACAAACAATTCATATAATATAAAAAATAGTAGTGTAGTCATTCTTCTTTCGTTGTACATTAGCTTTGAGTGAGCGAGCAGTCTTCAACTTCTTTTCTCTGAATAAGTTTCTGGATGACCAGAACATGAAGGGACCTGTCATGAGGAACATGAAGGGTCAAGTTTCTGGATGACCAAAACAGGTTTATCATGAGGAACATGAAGGGACCTATCAGGGAGGGTGATATCCTCACCTTGCTCGAGTCTGAAAGGGAAGCCAGGAGATTGCGCTGAGGGCCTTTAACATTTTCAAAGGTTTCTTCTGTTAGGTTTTTATCTTTTTTATGTTTTAATGGGAATCCTCTATTGAAGTCATACAGCTAATACCTAGTTTGAAAATAGATTGGGTTTTGATGAATTCCTAAATTTTGCTTGTGTTTGTGATCTGGAAACAAGGATTTGTTTAGGAAGGTTATTATCTTATCTAAAAACATAGTAGTGGAATCACTGGAGTCCAAGCCAGAAAGATTTAAGATAGTTTAGTTTGAAATCCTATAGGATAAAGTTTTTATTTTTCAGATCTTCCAATTTGATAAGCATCAAGTGCCACTCTTATAATTTAATTTTCTTATCCATAGCCTTTACCTCCTAATAAATGCCTTAATTATTTTTATATACTCTGTAGTTTGCGCTTTCTCAGACAAGAAAATGAAGATAATAACAAGAAGTAATTGCAGAATTGCATGCTCCCACTCTTTTGCTACTTCATCAATCTCCTTAGAATTGTCATTTGTTGAAATTGGCATATAAATGAGTTAATATGTAAATCTCAAATTAAAGTCAAAAAGTATAGATATTAAAAATAAAATAATAAATAAAAAGTATATAAGCACCAACAGAAACAAGAAACTTAACTTGCTAATCTGATTTACAATGGAGCCATATGGTTGGAATAGCTAGGTTAGGTTGAAATGATGCATTTTTTGGACATGTTGATCCAAGATAAGTGGCATACAAGTTATAGTTTCAGCCATACCATCTTGACATGTAAATACCATATTATAGTTCATTTAGACAAAAATAATTAGATCCATTATGACCAGAGCAAAATGGAGATATGTTGAGACACAACCAAAAAAATAAAATAAAACCTAACAACTATATAAAGAAGGAATTATGCTACAGAGTATAGAGAAGATAAATAAGAATATTTAACATCCTTGACCTTTCTCTGATGCAGCACATCTGTTATGATATTCATGAAGTTCCTTGCAAAGATCCTCATTGGTAGCCTTGAGCCAAGAATCCTTTCCTTGAGAGCCTACATAGTTAGATCATATAGTTGTTCCTTGCAAATTCCCTATTCCAGATCATATGGTATATTGGAATAAGGATCAGTAATTGAAGATCATAACACTTAATGTCATCCGCTAAAATCATTTGGAATAGATAGGGACATTTGGAGGAGAAGATTAGAATGATTGGTTCATTTATTATTTAACAAATTAGAAAAAAACCTAAAATGAAGTAAATTAGATCGACTCATCTACTATTCAATAGAAATAATGCTAAAATCATAAAGCCCTAACTGTATCAATAAAATAGTTGTTGTTCTTCTTGTCCATTAGAGCTATTGTCTTCTTTCGATGGAATCTCAAAAATGTTAGTCAAATCCATGGTTCTTTACTCCTATACCGTACAGGAAGAAATAGAATTAGAAACGAAGCTGAAGCTACTCTGTTTTGCATAGAAGTAGAACGAGAATACGAAGACGAAGATACTCTATTTTGCGCAGAATTAAAACAAGAATGCAAAGCTGAAGCTCTTTGTTTTGCATAGAAATAGAATGAGAAGACGAAGTTGGAGCTCTTTGTTTTGCGCAAAAGTAGAATGAGAAGACGAATTGAAGCTCTATTGCACTTGGGCATGAAAATGATGGGAAAAATGGGTGACCCCTGGCATTTGGTAAATTATATTTAATAATATCAAAAAACACCCTTAAATTAATTGGGGCATAAAAATAAAACACTAGAGGCATCCACAAAGTGCGGCAATATTTGGACATCTATTGAGGTATTTTTTATCAAATGTCTCTGACCTATGCCTCTAATTATATATTTTCCAATAGTAAATGGTGTAACACACCAGGAGAATTGTGTTTCAGAAACTGATACCATATCTGAGTTACTAAGATCATAAATAAGAAATGATTTATCCACTACATTTGACTTCTACAACTTTTTTTCTCTTTGAAAACAAGAATACATTAAGTTGACGTTGAATGCTTTCACTTTTCGCGTAATTGATGAAAAGAAAATGAGCTTATATTATAAGACAAGACCACATTAGTCAAAACTTTTCTTTTAAGTTTATAAAATCGAGCATGAAGCAATTTATAAGCATTTTATACTCACCATCATTTGCATTCCATTTATTCAACAATCTATAAGAAAAAAATAATACATAAAAGAGTCAAATTAAATTAGTATTTATAACTTTTCAGAAGAGAAAAAATTCTAACCATATAATTAAATTTAGTTATAAATGTCAAAGTAAAAATCACTAAATGTTATATTACCAAAAATGTGACCAAGCAATGGTTGCTCCAACAGATGTACTAATTGTTTTAAGACGCCCATGTGGTCTTATCAAAGGCTCTTCACGCAGTATTGGTACCTCCATATATACCACCCAAAATTCTTCCCCTAATTCTACATCACCCACTTTTTTTGATAGATCTTTGCTAACAATAGTTGCGTTATCCACAAATACTTGTTTTCTTAAGAAAACTTTTGTTACATCTTATTATGAAATCCTATTGTTAGTAAAACAATACCCAAAAAATAAAACATCAAATTAGTTTTGTTAAACTACCTTGGGCCTATAATTATAAGTATTCTTCCCTTTTTTACTAGTTATTTTATATGTACTTATTCCACAACTTCAATGTAGGGCTGTCAATCTTGACCCACCCAATCTATTGGTGGGTTAATATGGGTCGAGCAACCCATTAAGGTCAATGGAAAAGGGTTAGGGTGGGTTGGGTCGAGGGTACCCATTAGGGTCAGGATGGATTGGGTCAAAGTCAACTCTATTTGTACTCACCAAATCACAAAAACTAAAAGTTGTAGTGATTCAAACTCAAGTCTCCTAGTGTGCCAACATTTCATTACACTTCCAAACCACTATGCCACATTTGATTTTGACAATAAAAGTGAAATAAAATGGATTTTATTAACTTTCGTGTTCACATGCAATTTTATACAAAAACACTTTTACAAAAACATTTTTACAAAAGCAATTTTATAAATGACTTTTATAAAAGCACTTTTACATAAAAGTACTTTTGTAAAAGTATTTTTACAAAAACACTTTATGAAAGTACTTTTTTGAAAACATAAAGCACTTTTACATGAAAGCACTTTTATTAAAGTACTTTTATGAAAACACTTATGAAAGCATAAAAGTACTTTTACGAAAGTCCTGTTATTTTCTGCATTTTTTGTATTTTTTGTTTTTTTGTTTTTTTTCTATATTTTCTAATTTTTTGGTATTTTTCTACCTTTTCCGCAATTTTGGTGCTTTTTGCATTTTTTTTGTGTTTTTTTCATCCATTTCCTATAATTTTCTAGTATTTTTTTGCATATTTTCTGATTTTTTCTGCAAAAGTTATGAATTTTCTATATTTTTTAGTATTTTTCGTAATTTTTGGTGTTTTTTTATTTTTTACAATTTTCTGCATTTATCTATAATTTTTGCACTTTCGGGTATACAGGTTTACCTGACTCGTTTTCGTCATATGGCGGTCTTGAGAGATTATTCTCTCAAAATTTATTATTTTGAGTATACGGGGTCGTCTCGACCCCTTTTTTGTATTTATAAGTGAGGATAAGTGGGTTAGTATGGGTGAGGGTGGTTAAAGGTCAATATGGATGGGTCAAGTGGGTCAATATGGGTGGGTCAGGGTGGGTTATGACCCTTTAACTAGGATTGATTATGGGTCATGGTGGGTTGGTGGGTCAATATGGGTGAATTGATATTCAACTGTTACCCAACCCAACCCACCCATTTCCCACCCCTCCTTCAAGAATTCATTCTTTTGTGCATTGTTGCCAAAGCGACTTGAGACGAATGAATGATGACTTGAAGATACTTATCAATTAATAATGTTATCAATGATTTTATATAACTTATAACTAAATAAGTTTTCAAGAGACCTTATACAATTAATGAGTTAGTTAATGATCATTATACCTGGGGTTTTAAAGCTACATGGCCTGCTGAAGAGGAAACCTTATTTTGACTGCTAAAGACTTTATGTACATTATCATTCTTAGGATCCTATAAGAATAAATATCAAATGTTGACATCAAAAAGATTTGTTCAATAAATTCTAATAGGACTAAATGCAACTATCAAACATGATATTACCTGTGTGACATCTAAATGATTTAATGTTTCATCAACTACTTGATCACAATGGTTATGACCTTGTGAGAAGGTAGATATGAATTTATTCAGAACATCTTCCAATCGTGTTACAGTAAATTGTAAACTTTCCACCTTCGGCATGTGTTGCATTTCTTCATCAGTTTTCTTTTTGACAATGGATGCCATTTTTAAAGACTCTACTTTGACAGGTGTTATACCCCATATGTCCGAAGGAGAAAGGCCCAATCCAGACATGCGTACGTGACCATTATGTTCTCTCATAACTTGAGAAAAAACATCATTTCTTATATTTTCATTTTGTGAGCCCTCTATTTGTTGAATTGCATGCTTATTAAGCTATGACTGTGACATGGTAAGTATTCACTTCATTAGTATAAGAAAGAAAAACAAACAATTATTTGTGTTGAAGCTTCACCAATAGTTATTTCATCCTTTTTTTGTATGAGTCAACATAAACAACTCCGCTCGAGTTGGCTCACTTTCATCTGGCATTTTTGCTTTTTATTCTCAAGAAAAAAAAAAGAATCAAGATAATATCAAATTGCAAAAAAAAAAAAAAAAATCATTAAGATTGTCTATATTAATGATATGATTTACTCCTTCCTCTAATATTCTTGCAAAACTTTTTGTTGTAGTAGTGTGAACAATTTTTTGTCATAAACGACTTCTTAGTTCTATTGCTTTGAGCCTATTCATTAAATAACAAAATTGTAATTGATAAAAACACAAAAAACATTAATTTTTAAATGAATAAACTAAACAAAAGAATAACGAGTAACTAATACCTGGCATTTCTCATATTTCTAAAACTCATTAAGTTCCTTTCATTGATCAGGAAGGACCCGATTATCACATTTAGAGAGTTACTTATTTTCACAACCTAAATAATATTTTCTTTTCAATCTACAGTTCCAATCCTTCCATTTTTTTCTCAATGGACTTTAGGACCCGACTTTTATCGTTTGCATCAAGTTTAAACTTTCTCTACATCATACAAAGTAATCATGCATTCATATGATGATATAAAATAAAATATATATTATATAAATTAAGAATTTTATTTGTTATCGTAGTTTCTTCCCACATGTCATCTTTAAATTCTTGTGGCATTGCCTTCCAATTATCAAAAGAAATGGGGGCCATATTCCCTATTGTTACAAGTGTATCAAGAAAACAATTTGTATTAATACAAATTTATTGGTTTTCTGACATAGCCCATGTGTTAAGACATCATATAGCGCCTCGAGTTCTTTTGCACATATCATCTAACCTTATTATTGGAAAAAACACTTCAATAATAACTATATATATTTATATTTTTAATTCTATGTAAATCACAATTATACTAGAAGTTTCACCTGATGATTGAGCTGATTTTGAATTTCAAATTTGATTGCCCATAACGAGGTTGAGTGTTAATTGGTTATGATTGTTGTGGTTGGTTGGTAATACTACTTTTTCTCATGACTTTTAAAATGAGATCATGCACATATAAATATAAAAAAAAATGCAAATAGTCAATTGTTGATCTCTTTATAAAAAAAAAAAAAAAAATCAGTTTTGTTAAAAAGAAAACAAACTTTATATTCTTCATAATTGAGAAGGGAAAAAAGATAATTGAAAAGAAATTTATCTTTATAATTCTTTGTCATATACAAAATGAAGTAATAATTTCAAAACTCATCATTTTCATTGTTCTTTTTTTTCCTCAACAATAACTGTTGTACCATTTATACATGTTCTTCACAACAACATGCCAATCAATATTGATGGGATCTTTCACATAAAACATTTGCTCTACTTGAGATGCAAAAGCAAATAGTTCAACATATGGGTGTTAACCACTATGACAGAACCGTGGAAAGTTGACTAGCGTGAATCCAAATTCGTCATTTTAAATTACTCTACCATGGTTTACAACATCAACCCAATCACACTTGAACAAGCAAATCTTGTGGTTTCCATGGTATTTTAATTCAATGACATCTATCAACGCACCATAATAACCAACATCTTCAGTAACAAGGTTTTTATTATTGACACTTGCATAGCTTATTGTCTTTGCAATCACAACTACTCTACTATTTTGAGTTTTTTTCTATTATCCCTATCTTTGTTATGGAATTTAGTCCTATTTATCATAAATCCATCATACCTTTTAGCAATATCATTAGGACCAAGAGCCAACCATCTAAGGTCATCTGAGACCAACTCAGGCCTTCTTTATTGCATCTCCATGACCTATTAAATAAATTAAAATTAATTCAGACATATAAGATTGATCAATGAAACTATACATGCAAATATAACATGTTGTAATAGCAATTACTTACATGATTGTCAAACCATTTGAGAAAGTTTTCGCTATGGATGCGTTCTATGTCTTTGACTTGCTTGCAATGATTTATCTTCTAAGATTGTTTATATGCTCTCTGCATAATAATTAATTTAATAATAAAAATAAGAATAGTAAAATATTGAATCTTATTCTTGAAAGGGGATGAATTCATCACAATTGAAGAGAACATATCGGTGTACTTGTATATTTGAGTTTTGGTTAAGAGCAAATGGTTCACATTTTCCAAAGTGACGTTCTATTTGTTGGAAAATAGATGATCATTTTTCCATTGCAAAATTACCATAATTCCCTAAAAAAAGAGCTTAATTCGATTAAAGTTGATGCCACATTATTGGATAATGCTCTTTGTATGGCCAATGGAAGCAATTGTTGCATCATAATATGACAGTCATGGCTCTTGAGTCTTAAAATTTTTTGCTCATTTAAAATGTACGTGTCTTGAGATGCTAGATGCATAACCATCTAGAACTTTTACTTGCTTTAAGACTTCAAAGAAAACTTTTTTCTCCTTCGTATCCATTGTAAAGCATACTGAAGGCAAACACATTTTGTTTGGCCCAACTTACACTGGGTGAAGTGTTCGCCTTATATTCATTTCTTGCAAATCAAGACAAAACTTTAGATTACCTTTACTTTTTCTTTCAATATTCAATAATGTCTCAATTACATTATTGCATATGTTTTTTTCAATGTGCATGACATCAAAATTATTGTGCAATAAATTGTCCTTCCAATTTAGCTACAAAAACAAAAACTTTTTTTTTTCAATTAAATGGAAGAGTTTTGTTAAAACTATTTTTCCCAAATGTGACATTAATCTCTTGCAATTCTATGTTTTTGTTCACCATCAAACGATCTTCTAACACTTCTGAATTTATGATCATGCCTCAAAAATTGACAATGGCCCATGCAATAGATTTTTTACCAAGATTCAAGTATTTAGACCAAGTCTCCTTATTACAACAAGGACAAGCTAAGTAACCTTTAATGTTCCATCCAAACAAATCAACATATACAGGAAAGTCACTAATAGTTCATAATAAAGCTGCATACATTTGAAATATATATTTTCTTGAAGCATCGTAAGTGTATACATCATTTTCCATAATTTCTTCAAATCCTTTGTTGGAGGTTGTAAATAGACATCAATGTTGTTGATAGGTGTAGAAAGGCAAGGAATAAACAATGACAACATGAAATAAGGCTGCTTCATATACATCCATGGTGGTAAATTGTATGCCATAATAACAGGCCATGTGTTGTATGTAAGATTCATTTTTTTGAATTGGTTGAAACAATTTGCTGCTAATCCAAGTCTAACATTACGACTATCAAACGTTTTCCAGGCTAGTGAATCTACGGGATGCCTCAACTTTCCATCTTTCGGGTGTTCTTTAACATGCTAACTCATAAAAAAAGCCGTTTTTGTTGAAATGAATAACCTTTAAAGCCTTGGTATCAAGGAAAAATAACACAATATCTTAGCTGGGACTTTTTCCCTTTTGTAGATGATGTTGTGTTCCACCTAGAAGTACCACACATAATACATAACTCATACACAGCTATCTCTTCTTAGTACAATATGCAATCATTAGGACAAACATCGATGTTTTCGTAATGGAGACCTAATTCCTTGATGATCTTTTTGGTTTCATAAAATGACTTTGGCAGTGTTTCACCCACAAGAAATGCCTCCTTCAATAATATCAGTAATATAGTAAATGAGAGCATGGTGAACTTGTTACACCAAAGATATAATTCTTTGTCAACACCTTCTGCCAATTTAAAAAATTTTTGAGCCTCAACATTAGGCCCTTGTCTAGATGCTTGTGCCACATCATTCAACTCATCATCTGAACTTGAATAACCAAATGCATCATGTAGCATAGCATGTTGATCTGATTCATCATTTGTAACATTTTCACTAATAGGCATAGAAGTTGTAGATTCACCATGGAACACCCAATTGGAATAATCCTTTTTAAATCAATCACATACAATATGATCATAAACTTCTTCTCGGGTTCTCAACATGATATTATTGTAGTTAACACATGGACACAAAATTTCCCCCTCATGATTTGCATTGGCAAATGCAAAATCAAGGAATTGCACTAATCCTTCCAAGTAGGCCATACTTGTCCTATATAATCAAATAAATCAAGACAATTAAATATTTCCAAGTAGGCCATATTAGAGATAATAATTGGCTACAAAATCTATTTACACAGATACCTTGATCGATAAATCCAACTCTTGTCCATACTATGTTCGCCAACTACTCCCAATAAGACCTACAATCAAAAGTAAATGGAGGTAGAGAGAAAATCATTCTCAGTTTTCAAATATGAAAAAGCCTAGGACCCTAACTACACATAGAGCATCATAACTTCATGAGCACCAAAGCATCTTTGCACCTGGCATGCTTGATTTACAAGGGAGCATCCATGAAACTTAACTGGATGGTCCTTGAAAAGTAGGTATACCTTTTAGGGAGTTTGCAGATTTTTACATTCATCTAAATGAAGTGTTCATGTTGAATCTGATAGGTGAAAGTACGTCTAAACTAGCAGTTTCATCCCTCAACAATCCAATTATCACTTAGGAGTCTTCTTCAATCTCTAGTCTCTCATGGTCTACAAATAGTGCCAATCTTTACTCTTGGAGTACAGAAAGCATCTCTATTGAAATTGAGTTCCTATTGTCAATATGGTTAGGATCAAAGTATATCAACAATATTTCACCATATTGATTTCTAAAGACCACTCCTTATCCCATTCTTCCTTGGTTTCATAGGCTATAACCATTGAAGGCTTGATTTGATTATTTTGAGGAGATTGAGAAGGATGAGATATCATTGTCAAGGCTTTCTGTTGAGATATCATTCAAGAGAAAGCATCTCTGTTGAAAAGTTTATTGATGTTTCTTTTGGTGAATAAGTTTTTCAGAGGTTATGGGGTCCTTAATTGCTGGAATTGAAATTGGGCACAGATCACTACACTTTTGAATATTTTATTAAAAAGACAAAGCAATAAGTCATTCAGTTCATCAATTTTAGTCTCATTTAGTACTGAAATCTTTATGTATATGATTATTTATTCTACTAAAACAAAAATTACATTTGTTTCTTTCTTATTTCCTTTCTCAATTAAGACTCAGTTTGGGATGAGTACAAATACAAATATGTACAATGCAAATACTACGTTTAGAAATGTCATATACAAGAGTTTGCATTATACATATTTGTATTTGCACTTTCCCAATTTGAGATTAAATGTTTGTTACTTACCAAGCAAATAAATAAATAAATAGGAAAAACAATGAAAATGAAATAGATCATTGGTAACCAACTTAGAATTGAAAGATTGAGGAATTATAGTGCATAGGTTTACAAAGGAACACTAGTTCTTAACCAGCAGGTTTTGATCCTCTCTAGCACTAATTTCCTTCAATTAACTTGTGTTACTCACCAAGCAAGTAAACAAAGAAATGCAAATGAAATAGGTCATTGGTAATGGTAACCAATCTAAACTTGTGAGAGTGGAAAGTTAAAAGGCAAATGCTTACAAGAGAACACAAATTTGCACAACGGAACTTAAAAGACATACATAAGTATAATTAGATAGACAAGAAAAATCACATAACACAATATCTACTTACTCTCCCTATACTTGCATATGTAATAGAACATGGTGGAGAATTACATCAGCAGCATCTGCTAAATCCTCACTTATGCAACTCAAAAACTGAATAACAATTGCATTTGCTGGTTCTTTGAAAATTGTCAATCAATGGTTCAATGAAAATGTTCCAATCCTGGACCTATAAAATTTGAAACAAATTTTTAGTGTGAAAAATGATTGTAATGTAAGAAAAAATTATTGTAGTAGAGCCATAGACCAAAAATCTTTTTCTCTCTCTCTCTCTCTACACACACCCATGTAGGAAAAGCTTTGTTGGTCAAGTCATTTAGACAGGAATTCTAAACAACCCAGTAATCTTATGCATGGCAATGTTGATGGGGCCATAAACTCTAACCATGTCTCTAAAATAAATCCTTATATCTAGGCAGCTTTTAAAAATAGTAATATAAGATTTATCAATATTACTTGGGGAAATGTCAATACAAGGTTTGGAGCTGGATGATAAGGATAATGGGATTGGTAGGTAGCTGATCCATGGGATCACCAATCCAGTGAATGGTTTGTACAAGAAATCATTCCTCTAGGCTAAATCATGTAAGGGAGCTTCCTGATTGACTAAATTAAGCAAAAATTTTTCCTCAATGTATGTATGTATTTGTTAGTAAATAAGTATGTATGAATTTATTTATGTATAATTTTATTTAAAGATCTTGCGACTTGAGTGTATGTAAGTAAATAAGTGAGCTCTTCTTATGGGGTGAGTGTGTGGAAAGGCATAATGAAATTCTACTCTGCAACCATTCTTATCTTGGAAGGTGGGGAATGGGTCAAGCATAAGGAAGAAGAAGGATTTTTCTTCAAAGTTGGTAGTGGAGTGGTTGCAAAAGGAATAAAAAGGATTTCAGGTTTTTAATAATGAGAAGAAGAATTCAAGTGGCTGACATAAAATATGGATGTGAAATTCAGTTCGGATAAAAGAACTGGGTGGATGGGTCACTAGTTCAACCATCCAATTGAACATTGATATCAGGATAATAAAAAGATTCAAAGAAAAAAGCAATATTTGAAATTTGGTTAATGAATGATTCAGACAAGTCAATGGTTCAGTCTGGGCCAATGGATGTTTTCCAAGTCAATTGTTTTTTTGTAATATGGCATGTTAGAGGTTTATTGGGTTGTTGGTCAAACCAATGGATCAACTAAATGAACAAAATTTGGAATTCAATCTATATAATCTTAAAAAAAATAGTAATATGAAGAATTATTTAGAAATAGATATTTAAGTTGATTGGAATTGTTCAGACATTAATTGAGTAAAAACTAACAAATGGAATTAAATTAAATACTCAATCCAACTTAGCCATAATCCCAATTAATGGAAACAAATGACAATTGAGCCATTCCCTTTCAAGCTTGCTTTGAAAGGGATTCATTCCTTACTAGTTACTACCATGTGCATTCCTTTTTTCACCTTGTTTAAAGCCAGCTTAGTCGACTCCACATAGTTAGGATAAGGCATGGATGATGATGATGATTTTCTGATTTTCTGATTTTCTGATTTTATAATTGTGAAATTCTTTAAAGAAATCAACTAGAAGTGTTTAATTACCTTTCCTTGTTAGTTTCTTTCAAGAAACTAAGGCAATGCCCTATAATTACTATTTGAATTCTAGGTATCCACTTGAGACTCTGAGAACTTGCTTGGAATGGAGGAAACAGAAAATGCTGATAAAAAGTCTTGTCCTGAATCCTCTTTACCTGCTTCATCATCTAGCCAAGAAAATGGTCCTGTTGATTAACTGGCAACTACAACAACTGCGAATGAAAAAGTAGCAATTGACCAAAAAAATGCTATTATGGAAGATCCTAAAGTTGTAGTTGTACAAGATGCTTCTGATGGCCCAGCACCAGACCAGGATGGACTTCATACAATAGAGAACCTAGAAAGTCTACAGCCTAAAGGTGAAGAAATGCTACCAGGGTCCTCAGAAGTTAATCTATTACCTCATTCATCTGATGTCTTAGAAGCACATGCAACTGATACAACAAAGCATCCTGATAATGTTTCCTCTGATAGCATTGATGTTGTTCGAGTTAATGTTGTACCATCACCATCTAATGGCTCCATTGAAATAAGGAGCTCTAAAAATGATGATCATGTTCAGCAACTAGAAGAGCCTGTTCTACCCCAAATAGAGGATATAAGTGTTGCCCATAAAACACCAGAGTCCACTGATGTCTCTCAACATGTAAAACAAGTTGATGTACATAGAGGCCTTGTTGATCTTGTACCATTTGAGTCTGTTAAAGAAGTTGTTTCTAAATTTGGAGGAATTATTGATTGGAACACCCATAGAATACAGACTTTGGAGGTATGAGGTTTCTCTATGTTTGTTTTTGTTGCTGCTAACTTATTATCACATTTTCTTTGAAGTGTTTCACTTCTTATTTGAAAGAGAACAAGGAATTTGATATCCTTTGTGCTTCCTTAACATTTCCCAGTTTTGAATATAAAGAAATTTAAGTTACTTTTTTGGGATCATAGAGGCGCAGGCTTGTAGAAAAAGAACTCGAGAAGGCAAAAGAAGAGATTCCTGAGTATAAGAAACAGGCAGATGCTGCTGAAGATGTGAAAACTCATGTATTGAAGGAGTTGGACAGTACCAAGAGACTCATAGAGGAATTGAATCTGAACCTGCAGAGAGCACAATCTGAAGAAGAGCAGGCAAAACAGGACTCTGAGCTTGCCAAGCTCAGGCTCAGGGTGGTAGAGATGGAACAAGGGATTGCAAATGAGGCAAGTGTTGTATCAAAGGCGTAGCTTGAGGTGGGAAAAGCCAGGTATGTAGATGCAATAAATGAGCTAAAACCTGTGAAATATGAATTGGAAGCACTAAAGAGGGAGTTTGTGTCATTAGTTACTGAAAAAGATATAGTTGTAAAGAAAGCAGAGGAAGCTGTTTCTGCATCCAAGGAAGTTGAGAAGACAATGGAGGATCTGACTCTAGAACTAATTGCAACAAAGGAATCTTTGGAATATGCCCATGCTGCACATTTAGAAGTAGAGGAGCACAGAATTGGAGCAGCTTTGGCCAGAGAGCAAGATGCTCTTACTTGGGAGAAGGAATTGAAGCAGGCAGAAGATGAGCTACAGACTCTAAATCAGCAACTTCTGTCTACAAATAATTTCAAACCAAAACTAGATATAGCATCAACCTTGCTGCTGAATTTAAAAGCTGAATTAGCAGCTTACATGGAATCTAAGTGTAACAAGGAAGACATTGAGGAAGAGATGAAGCCAAAAAAAGAGCAAGAAGATCCAAATAGGAAAACCCATTAACAATTGGCAATTGCTTCAACCAAGAAGGAACTTGAAGATGTGAGGCTTAGTATCGAGAAAGAGACAACAAAAGTAAATTGTTTGAAGGTTGCTGGCATGTCAGTTAAGTTGGAGCTTGAACAAAAAAAATCAGCACTTGCCTCTATTCGGTAGCAAGAAGGAATGGCATCTATGACAGTTGCATCTCTTGAAGCTGAGCTGAACAGAACTAGGTCAGAAGTAGCCCTAGTCCCTCTTGACATCTATAACTTACGTAAAAATAGATACATGGATATTACTTATCAGTGATTGGGTAAAGACCATTACAGTTGAGTATAGAGATGATATGACCCTGAAATTCCACGCACGGTGAAATTAGTGGAGTCCCATATGATGAGTTAGTCTGGATCAGCTATAGGATTCCTCCACATGGCAAAGAAATAAGTGGGGTCAGGTAAAGAACAAAATGCAAATACATATAGAGCTGGACTAAAAAGACTGGTGAAAGAGCTCCAGAAGCACAAAGAAATGGCTGACTCCATATAGATTATAGAGAGTTGTATTTAAATAGCGAACTATCTTCATCTATACTACAATCAGCAGAACATTCTCTTTTGTTTTATGACTTCATCTCTGTGAGCCAGACCTATCTACATAACTGGCTGATCCAAGCATCTAGATTTATGCACACCCCAGAGAAAAGGTTACTACATTCCTTAGATTGACATTGAACTTCCCACCTCCCAAAGATGTCATATCATATGAACCAACAAAAGTGGTCTGTCCCCTAATACTGATTACTCAATTATCAACAAGCAAAGGGCTTGCCACAAGGTGGGAATTGGGAAAAACATACTAGAGTCTCAAATAGATTAGCACCATATTAGAGTCTGAAAACTTCCATCTTTGTTGCCTTTGTGCTGATACTTGAACTTATCATCAATTACCCTTTCACAGGTGGCAAAGAAATTTGGTAGGAAGCAATCATTATTCCACCAAAGATAAACAAGGCAAAAAGTGACAAACTTAGCTAAGACTGCTAGAAATTAAAAGTGTAGACACACGGTTCACTTAAGAACTAGGTCCACAAACAGGGAAGCAGCTGCACCAACCAATACCAAGGCAAAAAGGATCTGGGACTGAATCCTGCTGCCTTCACCTAAGTTTGGGAGGTTTCTAGGTTCGGGGCTAGGCTGCCCAAAATCTATTTGCCCATTTTAAGTTTTAATATGTTTTAAGTACATTATGCATTTTAGATAAGCTGTCCAATGTGAAATTTACATTCACATTGGCTTTATGTTGTATCTCAATGTGAGGACGAAGTCTATTTTTTTGGCATTAAAATGTCTCTGAAGTGGCAGAACTGAAAAGCTTATTGCTTTGTCTTTTAATAATTAAAAAATCTCTGAAGTGGTAGAAGGGAAAAGCTTATATTAAAAAAGCCTACCTAAATGCATCCAAATATGAATAAAACGTTAATAGTTAAGAGAAAATTTGTTTAAGTACTACATTAATAGATCTATACATATCCACATATTCATCATAATTCAAATCTTCTTCCATGGTTCTTTCCTAATAACATCTAGGTTTTCTCTACTACAAGAGGCAATTATAGGAGAGACTAATAGATTTCAAGAACTCTAGCATTTTTCTTGTCCTGGTCCCCTTCCCCAGACCCTGGGCTGCAGTCAGTAGTTACAACGAAAGAGGATAGAAATGCAGTGGGGAAACAAGACATGCGATGATATGAAGACCACACAAAACCAAGATAGACCTATGACTATGAGGTTGCACTGCATAGTAAACCCATACACCAGAAAATCAAGCTTTAGGGAAGAAGGACCACTTAGTTGGAGGAT